CAACTAAAGGTGACATAGATACTTTATTATGGTATAGTATTTAAATTTATGCCTGAGAAACACATAATAATGTCCCTTTAATAAAATTTCAAATTAAGGGAATTGTTTTTTGTGAGTTAGAAGAATCTGATGCCAGTTCCACCTTTTTTAGTGTATTTTGAAAATGGCAACAGCCAAAATGCACCAAAAAAAGGCTTTAAGACCAGAAAATATTTGTTGATTTCATATTTCTGAAACAACATCCTCTACAGATAAAGCGATGCCAAATGACACTTACTCTGAGGGCTGTAATGTAAACTCGTAAAGTGAGGCTGTGAATGAGCTTCCTGTCTTGGTCTGCAGCTGAAAGGAAGTCTCTGCTGTAAATCAAATACCAAGCCTCTATCACTGGGGCTAAAAACAAGTTTATGGCCCCTTTTAATCCAGCCTGCTGAAGTTTCAATCCGGACATGACAAAGGCACAGATCACAGCTGACCAGATCCATTTTCCACGCCGTCCATCCATTTAGAAGCACGGCCCTGAAGTAGAGGCTGCTTTGAAATTAATTACCCCGGCAAAGGTTTGCAGCTCCTTGGTCCTCCCCATCATCTCCTTCCTTCATCCTGCCTTTTTTTAACGCTTGTTCGTTCTTTGACACTACAACACATTGTTACCATCTCTGTTCACATTCACAAATGAACACTTCCTGATTGTTGGGGTATTTGTTGTCTTACCACACTGATGAGCTGTGCGAGGGATACTTGAATCTTTACAGTGACTCTCTCGGTTCTGTTCACAGCGGGCCGGATGAGCGGATTGTAACGGTCTTTTCCCAGCAACCAGTTCATTAAACGCTCCTCTGAGTCAGCGCTCAGGCTACCTGGTAACACAATATTGTTAAATAATTATTTTCTTCCTCCTTTTTTTAACAAAGGCTGACAAAAAAAATCTGAAATTTTAGGAAAACAGAAGATTTCAATGAATAAAATCAGTCATTTCAATATTGTAAAGGGTTCCAAATTATTTTCAAGTATATATTTAAGGAGGATTGGTGCATTTGTAACAACTGTAGTTAAAATAAATCCCCTGCACTTTTTAAATGATAATATGGAGCACAAAGCCCTCCATCTCTAATGAATGATGCTGTGGGCTTGATTGAATCTGATGACTGCTCCTTTTCTCCTGGAGCAGAATAAACTGGACCACCTTTTATTTCATTTGTTTTACATGTGGAAGCCACATATCATGGAGAAGCTGAGTTAGTGAACACATGGGTAACAGTTCAATCAGGTGYGATTTGTTCTAATGGGACCAATGAAGAAGAATGTCAGCTTTATTTATGTTGAACATATAGCTGATTAAAAACAAACAGGAAATACCATCAATAAAATACATTGAGTTAAATCACTCATAAAACCAACAGGTCARCTAGGCTCAAAACAAATGAACACAAAGAAACAATACACCTTAAAAAAACCTCATTGAAATCAAACATAATGCGTAAAAAAAAGTTTTCAGATGACTGTCAAACTCAAGACCCATGAGCCAAATCTGACCCTCATTTAATATTTTTTCTAGCCCCAAATATAATACTTTAACTGTGAAATAGTTTTATAGTTTCTCTTTTTGTCACTGTGTTTAATGCATTCTTCTCATGAAAGTGGGCCAACTTTCATCCATCCATTATCTTTTACTTGCCTTTTTTTCAAGGTCATGGGGGGCCACTGGTGCCCATATCCAACAGTCACTGTGGGACGGGCGGGGTACACCCTGGACAAGTCACAAGTCCATCACAGGGACACATAGAGACAACCAACCATTCACTCTCTTATGGTGCGTTCACACCAAACGCGATTTCAGCGTCAGGAGCAGCAGGTTTACAT